GTGTGTAAATCCTGAGTTGAGGGGTCCTGAGCTGCAGAAGGCAACCACTTACTTATAGTGCGGCAAAAATCCTAGAACCGCCACTGCTATTATATTAATGTTATATTAATATTTATGAGAGAAGTGCTACATGATTGGCCAGTGCATGCCTTATAAAACAGTGTGGCACTGCTGGGACTGGCGATATTAGACAAAACTATATTGGAATTCAGTCTATAATTGATATAGTTTTAAAGGTGCCAGCAGTGAAACAACTAGCCAGCTTATTAGCGGAATAACTTTGTATTGTAAATGAAAACCATGCCGCTGGTCCAATAAATAAAATATTGTAGTTCGAGTGGTGAAGAGATCATCAGGTGGACAGTAAAGTTCAGTTATTAGCAGACTGTTTTATTGCGTGATTCTTAAAAGGACAGCGATAACGTGCTACCGAGAGGATAAAGTACTTTCCCTTAAAATACGTTTAGCTTATCACTCAGTGCATTGCAGTCACAAAACATTTATATAGTTTTACACAACACATCGACACTAAAATTCCACGTCGACGGATTTTTATAATCGACATAGTCGATTATGTCGAATAATCATCCCAGCCCTAATGTAGAATGAAAATTAAACAAACTACTGACTCAACTTTATCATCGGGAAGAAATCCAAAAGGCTCCCAAACAGGGCCAGAAACATGTTTCTTTTTTACTAATCCTGTATTATTGCTACCACTCGCAGCTGCATCTTTCTAACCAGTAGACTGACCTCTAGTGGCCAGTGCTGTGCACTGCACTACACCACCTCAATACTGCATCTCCATATCAGTTTAATAGAAAGAGGAGCTTCTATATTTTTGATGGTATTAAAAATAATCCCCCTAGGATTTTTAAACACCAGGGTATACCGTAATACTGTCATACCACCCAAGACTAGTTCCCAGTATCACCACAGAAATATTAAACACCCCCAAAAACCATGAACTACTTTTCAATTATATATAGATAGCACTGCATTAGGCTGGGCTAAGAAAAATCTGATGCCTTCTTTTGAGGAACATCTCAGATATCTACATGCTGGGAAATCCTACCTTGTGTTCCATGTAACTGGAAAATTAGGGAAAACAAAGGGGAATTCTCGCTGTTTTTCAGCCAGTTCCGAGCAATAAGTTCAGGATGTGCTGAATTTCCCCTGCATGTCACCACCCAAGGCCCCCCTAGTTCCCCTCAACAACACGGAGTCTAACTGCAGACTGATGCATGGCAGATGATTCCATCACCCCTTCCTCCAGCTGCCCTTCAGTAGCACAGACGGAAGCGTTGCCCTTCTTTCCTTTAGCAAGCCTGTGAATAGCACCATATAAAAACGGATCGCAAATCAGGAAAAATACTGGCCAGTTTTCCAAGCTAGGAACACTCACCCATCAGCAGATGCAGGTTTTCTTTAAGCTGGGAAGGCCACAGTAAACATATTTAAATACAGCACACAGAATGATCATACTGTGAAAGCAGATACCAAGGTCTGGCAGGAAGTACCATCTATATTTTTGGGTGAAAGTGACAGCATGTAGCAAACAAGGAGGATCATATCTGGATTGTATATTCACCTCGCCCTTTCCTGGCCATGAGCGATTTGACAGCATGGAGACGTCACCTCTCAAAGCAATGAGTTCCACTAAATAGAGGCCGTTTCGATGTATGTTTCGGGGGGGGGGGGGGGGCGAGTTTAG